CGCGTATGGAGATCCATCGCGAGACGGAGAATGGGGAGGGTGCATGGTTCGAATTTAGATTCGCTAAAATCGACCACCGCGACGTCTTCGTCGCGTACACAGAATGGATCTCACCAGTCCATTCTACAACGACGTACCCCAAAAGTCGACGAAAGACGCCAAAGGACGCGTTCGAGCGTCCTGTACGGCCTTTATCAGAAACATTGTCATACCCGCGGTGCAAGAACTTCCGGCGAATCTCGCGACAGCCAAGACGGGTCTGCGGTACCTTTCTCACGACGTGCGAAGCAGTTACCATGTCATAAGTCGCGACTATCGAGTCTTCGCCAGACTTATTACAGGTCAGCTTATCGTCACTGACACTCGCGTCACGTGCGGGATGAGCAACGTTCGCTTTTACATGGCCGAGCATGGATTGAAATTGGGAAGAGACGCGGCGGAATCTTTTCTGAGAGAGATAGTAAATGTCGACCACGAGCACGTCGATGTGGTGCAGATACACCGCGACTTTTATACAAAAAGCATTTATACAAAAAAGATAAAAATTTTGCAACAAAAGATTCGACGAATGGAATCACGAATTATTTCTTTGAAAGGAATTCTCGAATCACTGAGGGAAAATGATCTATTGCAGATTGAAGAATTGCAAATATTACGAGACGTAGGTGGGGCAAATTCTAAAAACTGTAAATACGTCGTTAAGTATGCGGCATGTATTTAATAAATTAATTTTATTCAAAGGTCAATAGACTTGCAATTGTATGTATGCACACAACATATGTACATATATATTATAGTATTAGCTGTAATAAAGTTTATTTGATTACAAAACTGTAAACAAAATTTATTTACACAGCGGCAAGTTATATGTCATAATAAAATTCGTTAAATCATAATCTCATGTGCAAGATAAGTAAAAGTAATCTTTCAGTTATGCTTGAATAGAATAATGTTTCATTTATATTTATACATCTCATTTAGTAAGAGATTGCAAAATATATTAAATTTATTACACAATTAAAAAGTTAAATAAATACAAATAAAAACATTAGAGATATTTATATTTATAGATTCTAACTTCTAACTATTTAGTATTTTTTAACCTTGATTGAGGTATATATTTATATAAGACATTAACGCTTCAATATCGATATATGATGATTTATAAATAAAACATTCTCTCTCTCTCTCTCTCTCTTTCTCTCTGTGTTTATTTTCAAAATATCTTATCATAACATTTATAATTGCAAATGAACTACAAACAAAAGTTTTCAATTTCGCGCGTTTATGCTGGAACCAATCACTAATGCGGCATCAAATGTACCACGTGAGGCGGCTTCACTCCCATAAAGTACAGGTTTATGCTCTGTCCCATTATTCCTATGTCCATGGCGCCGCGGTAGTTGCCATTGTCAAATACGGTTAGAAAATAATAAAATAAAGGCCATCACACGTACAAAAATTTTAGTCGTAAGCGTAAGGTCGTAAGCGTAAGGTCGTAAGCAAATCGACCAATCACAGTCGAGCGTTTAAAAACGCGAGATTTTAATTTTGATTGGTCGATTTGCTTGTGACCTTACGATTCCGACTAAAATTTTTGTACGTGTGATGGCCTTAACTATCGCCGATACGATTTGCACGCCGCGGTATGACTATTAAAATGTTCGGCGGCGACGGCGTGTCTAGTTCCACCGGCGGCGGCGGCGTGGCGTGGCGGCGCACAGCTCTAGATAGAATACTAAATAAAATCAGATTTAAAGTTAAAAAAATATCTTTCAATAAGAATAACTGTTTCTAGAAAAACAAATTAGGTCACTTTGTGGAAAATTTAAAATGTTCTTTTTTTCTCTATTTGTTGGCTTTCGCCTATTCGATAAAGGCGTTATTACCAATAGACGAAACATTTTTTCAATTTTTCTCAAGATAAAGGGCCGTCCATATATTATCGATAAAGGCGTTATTACCAATAGACGAAACATTTTTTCAATTTTTCTCAAGATAAGGGGCCGTCCATATATTAGTATTACGTAAGCAAATTTTTGGCCATTTTTAACACGCCCCTTCTCCCCCATGTAAGCAAGCGTAAGGATTTCGGAGACCTCTCCCCCCCCCATAATTACGTAAGATTTTTGCACACGTTCGATGTCCAAGACTAAAAAAATTTTCAAAGCAGAGAGTTACACGACTCTTTCAATATTATTATACAAACAATATAATTGCATTGAAAAAATTTCAGATAAAAGTCTTACATAAGAATGTATGCGCCCCTATGTAAGCATTCGTAAGAATTTGTCTGACTTCCCCCTCCCCCAATTATGTTTATGTAATATATGGACGGCCTTTAACCGCAAACAAGTAAAGATATAAAAAAAACATACAAGGTCAAGGTTCAAGCACAGTATATACAGTAGCGCAACTCTCTGTCGGTACCTTTGATGTTAGTGTTGGCCAAAATGAAGTGCGCATGCGCGAAGTAAGCAAGTTACCTAGCGTAAACCTAGCGTTTCTATGATTGCTATCTGAACTTCTTCCTCTTTTCATCCTTCTTTCGCTCTGTCAAAACTCATTATATTTATTCGCGTCGCATTTCAATGAATGCATTGAAGTGAATAAAAGCTATTGTAGGAGCATATTAGAGCATGCAACGCGAATAAACCCACTATTGCAATGAAATAATCTAAACTTAATGAAAATTAATAAAAATAAATTGTAAATATATTGAAAAATAAGGAAAAATGTAGAAAAATTAAAAAAAATATTAAATCGCCTTCAAAACATATATATTTATATAGAGAAATATTACATAATTGTAAATATATGCTAAGTATCAAAATGTTATGAGTTGATATAAAAGAAAATTTAGGTTTCTCGAGGTTTCTCACACAACACTTCATCAAATAGACAATGCACGTTGTATTTCCCTCCAAATTTCTACTCTCAACCGCTCTCAACTCTTTAAATGGAACATTGAAACGGTTATTTAAATAGAGAGAGAGAAAGCAATAAAGAAGGAGAAAATGAGACGGGGCAACTTACTTATTTCACGCATGCGCACTCCGTTTTGGCCAGCATAAAATCAGGAGAGTTGTGCTACTGTATATACTGTAGTTCAAGTATGCGGAACATACTTGCACCGCGTTTTATCAGAAATTTTTTAAAAATTAATAAAAATGATTCCCCCACCAAAGCAAATCAAAGCGTCCACTCCGGCTGAGTCGCTAATCCTGATAGAATAAATTGAAGTACAACCACCCGAGAAAATTTAAAGTGTAAGAGACGAAGCTCTAGAGGTTTGTGCCGTATATCTTAAAATTACAGATATTTTTTCAGAAAAGGAAATGAGTACGTATTTAGTGAAATATTAACGCTAGAGATGCAAAAGTACTGTCAAATTCAATTTTATAATTACTTACGGTAAAATTATGGTAAAATGGTAATTTATTGATAATTTTGGTAAACTTTGTGTTTCTCAATTTATTTAATTAAATGTTATTTTATATTCAGACTGACTCAATCTTTCAAGTTTCACCAATTTTCGGACTATAATTTTTACGTATTGACTTTTACGTATTCTTACTTCGCCCTTTATTTTTATTATTTTTCATTTTTATATAAAGAGTCCTTCTATTTGTTTAATGTAAAATTTGTTGCTTCTTATAGTTTTATGCATAAATAGACTATATTTTCGTATTTATGTATTGTATAAAATTATATATTATACAATCATTCAATATTCCTAATAGGAATCGCTGGTAGAATAACAGGGCTATTAACTAAATCTAAGCGTACTCTATTGAAAAAAAATTACGTCGCAAAGTTACATAACGAAATCATGTAATTAAAACATGTAAATCACGCAATGGATTGTTCCAAATCAGTACGTGATATTTTAAAATCACGCTATTTGGAAAGTTACACGATGATATATTTTTTTTCTTCTATCATTTAATTTTATAAGTTTATAAGGTATGAAAAATATAGTTTAAGACTATTGTACCTATCACATGTTTTGTTTTCAAAATTTTAATAATTTATTTGAAGTTTCTTTAGTTACTACGTACCTACATAGTTTCTTAATTATTATATCAATATGTAGTATCAAAATAAAAATTTAAATTAAATAAAGTGTTTTTAAACTTTTTAACTTAATGACTACTAAATGTACTTTTATATCAAATTACTTTATTTTTATAATTTTTTTAAATTACCATTTTATCAGCTCCCATCGTAAATTACTGACTAATTTACGATAAATTACCGAGTAAATTATCGTAAAATTTGGTTATTTTCATCTCTAATTAGCGCTCATAATTGTTTCCAAAGATTGAATTACAATTTTTTCAAAATCTATAGAGTATTCTTTTATTTTCAGTATTATTTATATTAACAGTAGAAATTGCTTTTCTCTACGATAGACGTGGACCCGGTATCACAAATGTATAATAAGATTATTGACTTTAATCTCGGTTTAACTTATTATTTTATCTTTTTCTAATTCTAAAAATTAGAGTTAGAAAAAGATGAAGAGTTAGTTAAATCGAGATTAAAATTAAATACATTGGATTAGAAAAAGATAAATAGTTTAAGTTAAACTGAGTTCAGTTAATCTTAAATTTGTAGATCGTAATAGATTTCGTATTCCCTGATCTTACTGTTAATAACTGTGCTCCATTAGAAAGAAAACGCAATATATTGAATCGCATCATCATTCCTCTCTCTAATAGGCTATTTAAATTTTACATATAATTTGCTAAGAATTACAAATACATTGCTCGGAAAATAATTTATAGAAAGTCGTTAGAAAATACTACCTACAGTATATCACATAACATTTCTTTCTTATTTACAATACACTACATTTATGTTTTAAAGTATTGAAATACGTTTATAAATCATTTATATTTTCCATACAAAATAAATATGTATATAGTAGTAACAAATCACCATTTAATTCTTTTTTTATTTTGTTATTTTATTATTAACGTTATTTTATATTATAGGTTGGTTTGTCTGAAGCAATTACCACCAACAACTAAATTAATTACTAAAGGAAAATAGAAAACGGAAGTGATAACAGCTAGCACTTAATAAATAAATCACAAACAAATGGAAATAATGAATGATGACAAATCGGATCACATAAAACAAGATCATACTCAGAATATCATGAAAGAAATCATATCAAGTGCGAAAAATCAAAGCAATGACATCGATGGATACACAAAAAATACAGACAAAGATGAATACTATGAACTTGTAGAGGCAAAAAACACCGTTAAATACATCAAACATCTTGTGGAGGTTGCGAAGCCTACAATCGATCAGAATTCTGCGAAACCGAAGGATTATGATAAATGGACGGAGGAAGAACAATTCAAATATATTATGGATAACGTGAAAACATATATGCCAAGTATACCGCAATCCTTATTATTTTTTACATCAGGTACACTATATCGAGGAGATTGTGGTCGAAATTCGATGGACAGACCATTCTGGCTGGACATGGAAAAATTTCAGAGAGGTCAAAAATTTATGCTAGATCATTTAACCTCAATTATTTTGGCTAATATGTTATCGCTTTTCCAGTTATTCGCTTTCACAGATGGTCTTAAACCGCTCATCTTCAGTCAACAATCTCACACGCCGTATTTAGCGTTTAAAAGGTACATGAAGATTTTGGTAAAATCTCGTAGGCCAGTAGTCATACTCTGTTCTTATATTTTAAGACCATCTTCAATAATGTCTTAAGATTCTATTCTGTGATTGACTTAAGATAGTTTTAAATAAAAATTTACTATGAAACCGGCCTTGGACTTGTATTTATAGTCGCGTTTCTGCTAAAGAGTTGAAATTAATGAAACTATAGTCACAGGTGAAATAGGTGAAAAATTCATAATCGTAATTTAAGTGAACAATTCTTATTTTTGAGAAAAAACATTATGATATTCAACTTTGAGATTTATAACAACCGAGTCTTGAGGCGAGAAAGATAAGAAAAAACATAAGAAGAAGTTATATCTTTGCAAGTATTTACTCGATTCTAAATCAGATGTTATTGTTTTATTAGTATTACAATACAAATAATAAAAAAAATGTAGCGTATTTACGTCAGTACTATACAAATATTATATCAAGAGAAGTGATAAAAATTGTTGGAGTATTTATAAAATATTTGAAAATTATGTTATATATATATTTTTTTTAATGTTATTTAATGTTCAGAAATATCACATTATTAGGTAATATTTTAATAGCACACACATTTCTAAATTATACATGAAAATATTAATAAAATTCATATACAATAAAATCAATATTTCAAAATATTGATTTAATGTTTCTTGCTTACTAAGATACGATATAATATGTGTACCTATATTAATACATTAATATTTGTTATAAAATCAGATTAATTTATAACAGCTCAATCTGGAGATTAAAAACTAAAAAAACATGAAACAGATAAACTGATTGTTAAGAGAATTCATTAAATCGAATCTCAGTCAGAAATAATTGATTGAATTGACGTCAATTGACTAGAGCAGTGCTGGGATTTACTTGCACATTTTTACCGATTTTCGGCATTTAAGCCCATGGCACATACAAAAACGTAAGGCCGTAATACGTAAGCAGCAAAGAAATCGTAAGATTGGATTCGCTACTGGCCTTACGGTCTCTATCGTGATTGGCCAATTCGCTTACTGATTATGTCTTACGGCCTTACGTTTTTGTATGTGCCATGGGCTTTAGGCTGCGCGCGGGTTGATGAAGTAAGGGACAGGAACCAAGCTGAAAATCGGTCGAAATGTACAAGTAAATCCCAGCACTGGACTAAAGTTATCAACGTCAATTGACGTTGATTCGAATAATTATTTCTAGTAGAGATATAATTTATTAATTTTATTATTAGCTTTACTTTTCGTCGAATTATCTAAAATTAAATTATTTGTTTTTAAAATTTAAATAATAAGTTAATTAATTATCATATAGTATAATAATTATTAATTTATTAGTTTTTAAACCTAATTATATATAATTCCAATATTTACAATTAACAATACGAACAGTACAGACTGCCGTAATCTTAGAATATACAGGGTATTTCAGACCACACGTACCACTCATTTAAAAGCTAAAGACATGATTATTTTAAATATGTAAAAACGATTTCTTTATAACTCGAGGGCGCTCTATCGAATGGTGATATTTTCAACTTCCGGTTGCGGCCGGAAGTAGGTGTTTCAGACCGGAAGTGCAGTTTTTTAAATGGAACATAGGATTTTTTATTGCAGATTCTGATTCTACGCAAAAAAATACAAAACTTTTGTACCAAACATTTTTTCGAAAAATGTCAGTTATGACCTTCGAACGTCCTTCAAAATGTTTTTCGTCAAAAACTACGTTTTCCAACAACTTTTATCGATATAACGCACGATTAACGAGCTTGTGGGTGGTTAAGCGTACGTGCGTGTGCGCGTGAGTGTCCTGCTCTCGGCATCACCCAGGATCAACGACGTGGACGTAGCAGGTGACTGATCCCATCGGGGTGCTGGTTTAACGTGAGTAATCCCCTTGCCTCTCACGTGTGCGTGTGCGTGTATGAGTGTACACGCACACCCACACACTCATACACGCACACGCACACGTGAGAGGCAAGGGGATTACTCACGTTAAACCAGCACCCCGATGGGATCAGTCACCTGCTACGTCCACGTCGTTGATCCTGGGTGATGCCGAGAGCAGGACACTCACGCGCACACGCACGTACGCTTAACCACCCACAAGCTCGTTAATCGTGCGTTATATCGATAAAAGTTGTTGGAAAACGTAGTTTTTGACGAAAAACATTTTGAAGGACGTTCGAAGGTCATAACTGACATTTTTCGAAAAAATGTTTGGTACAAAAGTTTTGTATTTTTTTGCGTAGAATCAGAATCTGCAATAAAAAATCCTATGTTCCATTTAAAAAACTGCACTTCCGGTCTGAAACACCTACTTCCGGCCGCAACCGGAAGTTGAAAATATCACCATTCGATAGAGCGCCCTCGAGTTATAAAGAAATCGTTTTTACATATTTAAAATAATCATGTCTTTAGCTTTTAAATGAGTGGTACGAGTGGTTTGAAATACCCTGTATATATGTTCTAAGGCCGTAGGGTTCGGGTACTGGCGCAGTACTGGCAAACTACTGACCTAATATTGACTAACAAGGGAAGTTTCACAATTGTCCAGAACCAATTTGATTCTCCGGTTTCCACTACAGTTTCAAGAGTATTTCAATGTTATGAAGAAAAAAATTTTTTTAAATTTTTTTGTTAACAATTGTTAAACAAAAAAATTTTTTAATTTTTTTTTCATAACATTAAAGTACTCTTGAAACCGTACAACTTTTGTTTAAAAAAATTTTTTCCACCTTTTATACTTCCGATGGTATTCGACTCGAAATAGAAATATTGTTTTTTTTTCAAAGGGGTGTTTCAGCCCTTAAACATGAGTTAGCGCACGTATAAAAAAATATGTGTCTCTTAGATTTTCGTGTTTTACAACATATTTCATGGAGAATCAAATCGGTTCCGGACAGTTATGAAACTTCCCTTGTAAGTAAGTGAATAATAATTTGGGTCTAGTACTGACAGATGGTACTGGTCCAGACATTTTAGCCAGTCATTTACAAATGCAGATGGCTGACAGAAATTTGGCTGTCATTTGACAGCCAATCATTTGCCAGTGATAGCCTAGTACTGATTGATAGAATCTTGGCCGTCGATTTTAACAATTGTTATAGCGTTGGCTAAGCGTTGATTTCGTAATTTGTAACTGCTGGCGATCCTACATGGGAAGTCGTACATTTGTTAATGAGTTTCCGATTATCATTGAAGGTATTTGTCTACGTTTTGTTATATAAGAAGTTGGATAACGGGAGATCCATGGACCGTGGGCACGCGAGCATACAACGATATACAAACTGTGCGTAGAATGCACCGTGCAATGCGATTGAAACTCTGTGAACACGATAATGAGGAAATCGATATGTTGACTAAAATTCCAAATCCATGGTGTTCTGATAGAGAAATAATTTTAGAAGATTTATCTTCCTGTCCATATCCGACTGTAGAAAATGGTTGTCTCCATCTACTGGTTAAACCCAAAGGGTTGAATCAATCAGATATGGCAGCCACGCAATTCGCTTTCATGGGGTTGATTGTGTTGTATCCTAAAAAATTCGGCGTTTATGCTAGCGATGAAGATATTGCAGCCTTTTGCCACACATGGAGAGGTATAGGGTACCTTCTTGGCATGGAGGATGAGTAAGTAATACTTTTTCATTCCTCGAATATTTTCCTTATTTGACAAATTTTATGTCTCATTAGAATTCTCTATTTGATGAAAACATATAAATGTCTAGATACAATTTCTGTCGCGGAAGTCAGAAGGAAATTAAACAAAGATCACGCGACTTCATCAAAGTTTGGGTGAAGCCTTACTTGAGGCAAGTAACGCCTGAATGGGAACATATGCTGAAATGCGTGATGGAAGGTACTTCTTATTATATTAATGTTTTCACATTCAAGATGGCACTACTGTATGTCGCCAATTTACTGGACATAGATATGCCACGTATACGAAGTATGCTCACTTATTATGAATGGCTTAAACTCATTATAGTGCAACAGTGAGTAGAACACAACTTAAATAATAATTAAATATAATGCGCAAACATCCTTCGTCAGAAAACGAGAAGTTAATTATTAACAAACTTAAACTTAACGACCTAGACTATTTTTCATAAATGAACAAAGATCAAGTATTTCAATTTCAATTAATCAATCGGTTTGATAAATCGAAGAATTTTTATTACTTGAAAAGTCTATTATGTATGACAATTTATTTGTGTAGAGTAAAAATGTAAAATTTGTATGTTTGAATATTATATGATGAACTATCGCAATATATTATATGAAGTCTCATTTATAGGATATAGAACTGTAAAAAATTAAAGTGTAATGCGAAATTTTATTGTACTTTTATTGTTCATCTAAATTAAGTTTTCACTCATAATAATAATAATATTTATAATGATTTCTTTCTATGATTTCAGCTTTCTAATTCCCTACGTCTTCAAGATACGATTTGTAAGACAGTATATAAATAACACATTTTTTAAGGCACTCGATAAAGCAAACAAATATAAATCTGAAAAGCATATGGAACTTAAAAAGAGATCTCAAAAGGTTTTAGCCGAGGGCCGATAATATTTGTATACAGACTTGGAGTTTTACTTATATACATTATTAGTTACTAAACATTAGCGTTAATAGATATTAATATAATAGTAAACGTCTCAATGTAAGATGATATAACATTATATTGTACTTGATAACTCTTAAGTTATGGAATAGTTATAGTAAATTCAAAAATACGAAAAAGCGTTACTCACGCTATTAAACTTTCACTTATAAATCAGAGAGAGAGAGAGAGAGAGAGAGAGGAGAGAGAGGAGAGAGAGAGAGAAAATCTTATTTATAAACGTTTCTGTGAAATATATGTAAGGCTAAAATATTTTATGATAAAAAATCCCATTAACACAAATAGAATATAAAAATTATGTCTATTTTTAAGATAAATACTAAGAAATATATACATATGTTTAAAAACATATATATGTATAAAAATATATAAAAAAGTTTAAAAACAATAAAAATTGATTTTACATTAATTGTCTAAATCAATTATTTGAATAATCAAATAATCAAATTAATAGCAAGAAAGAGATGCGAAATCCATTCATTCCATCTAATCTTTAAATTCATTTCTACTATTTCTTTAAATAATTTATAATAACTAATATGTGATGACTAAATATCGCATTATTTGGAATACAACAATTTCTAAAACTTAAATAAAGCAGCAAAGTACAATCAAGTGATATGTTATACGTATAAATATAACTTTTTCAGTACCATTGAGGTTCGCATATGGCTCACAAATAAACATTAAAAGGATGTATCTGAGTTATTTCAAAAATAGTACCAAATTAATGAAATTTCGGGAAACTCTTCCTTTGTTATATCTGTAATATACTAAAAAAATTTCAAGTAGATTCACTAAACCGTTAGAGAGTAATTATTATTTTAATTATGATGATTATAAAAATTTAATACTA